TTGTGTTATTTTAATTAATAAAACTATTAATTATTTTTTTTAAATAATATAATAGTTAAATCGATACAATGGTGAAATTACATTGTATGTATTTTAGTGTACTTCTATGTTGAATAAAATAGTTTAATAGTTAATTCTATAAAATGGTGAAGGAAAATTAGGTGATTATATAACATGAAATTTTTAAACAGTCAAAATAGTTTAATGAATGACAATTTAATTATGGATTTTACCCTAATTGTTGGATAAGTAACTATAATTCTTTAAATACCTGTTTAACTTTTTATGAGAACATTGTTGACATGTACAATTAATGATTTTATGAATATTGTAGGTTTTGTTTATCGCAGGAACCGACACCACATCGAGCACGTTAGAATGGGCAATGACTGAGCTTCTTCGTAACCGAGAGAAAATGGAAAAGACTCGGTCAGAGATCAATAAATTCATGAAAAATAAGAAGGGATTTGTACAAGAAACATATATCTCTCAACTTCCTTACTTGCAAGCAGTTATCAAAGAAACTCTTCGGTTGCATCCACCTATTCCTCTTCTTGTTCCCCACCAAGCCATACAAGAAGTACAAGTCAATAGTTTCATCGTGCCTAAAAATGCACAAATCCTCTGCAATGTGTGGGCAATGGGGCGTGATCACAATATTTGGCTAGACTCAGAAAAATTCATGCCAGAAAGGTTTTTGGAAGTCAAGATTGACTATAAAGGTCAAGATTATGAGTTCATTCCTTTTGGTGCTGGGAGGAGGATATGTCCGGGATTGAATATTGCTCATAGAATGTTGCATATAATGTTAGGGTCTTTGATTCATAAGTTTGAGTGGAAACTTGAAGGAAATGTAAGAGTAGAAGATATGGATATGGAGGAAAAGTTTGGGCTCACATTGCCAAGAAAAATACCACTCGTGGCTATTCCAATCAAACTTTGACGTTTTTTTTTTATCATTTGACTAAGAGCATTTAATATGCATGGTTTAATGGAATTGGTTGAATAATGTGGAATGTTTAATTGGTATTCAATTAATTAAATGCAACCATAATTGGATGTCAAGTTGGTTGTTGTTCGATGGATATGAAGTTCAATGATCATGTTCAATGTGAAAAGAAACTTTTTTTAATATAAAATGATTTTCTTTAAATATATTACATTGAACTCTTGTAGAGTTCAACAGATCGTATGAAAGAAAATGATAAACTTGTATGTCAATCCATTAAACTATGTAGAGTTTATTTAGAGTATTGTGGATTCCTTGAATTTTATAATTTTATATTTTTTCTTGAATCTTATAACATACATATATTTAAAATATATTCACCGAGATGACCATGTTTTAATACAAAGTATTTTCCCATGAAATTCCTTTCTCTCATTAATCAAGAATATATAGAAGATTATAAGCATCAGTCATGTGAGATGGATCGAGCCGAGATACAACAAAGAAATAAATATAATTATGTAAACATCCCCCTACGGTTTGAGAAAGGGGGTGATTTCGAACATTTAAACTGGATTGAAAATCAAGAAAAAACAATTATGGCAATCCATTGGTAACATGTTGAAAAGATGAGGGAACATGTAACACTCGAAGTTGTCTCATCCAACCTTGGTATGTACAAAGTGAATGTTAGTCTTAATATGTTTCGTTTGTTGATGGTGCTCATGATTTGATTACAGATAGACTATAATAACATTGCCACATTAGCTAATTGTGTCAGGAAGTGATCCGTTGACAGAGTTCACAAAGCAGATTTCAGATCCAACATGTTTTTGTCATTATGTTTGCAATATCATGCTACTCAAAGTCACCACTTTATCTGGAAATAACTCCTTGACATTTGGATGACCAAGATAGAAGAGTTTTGTAACATCCTATTTCGGATCGTCTGTGATTAGGGTTCGTGGGCTGCAAACCGGGCATGAGGAAGTCTTGGGGTTGCGACAAGTTGCTAGAAGCATAAGGCATCTCGTCACCTTTCCGTGGATATGAGGTTCATTGGAAACAGAGTTATTTCGAGGAGACAATGGAAGTTTGAAGTTGTGGCAGGATAAGTCCCTCATTTTAGAAGGGTGGCAGCTGAGTACGTTGGGCATACATGTGAGTACGCTTAGCGTACTCATGTGCTCGATTTTTAAGCGGAGCCACCTAGTACGATGGACGTACCAGGGGGTACGCTGGGCATACTAGGCGCAAAGTGGAAACCCTAATTTTTGGTGTGTCGACCCTATATAAAGAATGAGAAGGCATCATTCCTAGCCACCATCCCCATTCAAGAAACCCTCTAAAACCCTAAACCTTCGTTCATGGAGCTTGTGAGTGCATTTGTAACGCCTCGATTCTCAGGTATTGATTTTTATAAGAATTTTCTTGATTTCAAGGTCTACTCGACGAGTTGGTTGCCCTACTCGTCGAGTAGCAGCGGTTTGGTCCACGTGTTTTAGTGACCTTGTAACGACCCAAAATTTAAGACCAAAAATTTCTTTTAACAAATCATTACTTAAAGTAAAGTCATCATTCCGAAACATAATATGAGTATAAGTTTTCAAAACACATGTTCATTATCAGAGTAAACATTCCCATGTTGTCTAATCTATGGTGTATGCCATGCAATCACCCCGAGCTCTTCCCTCCGCTACCGGAAGTACCTGAAACCAAAACTGAAAACCATAAGCACGAAGCTTAGTGAGTTCCCCACCCTAACACATACCATGCATAACCACATACTGCACATACTGGGCCACGCCCACTATCTTGGGCCTCGCCCGCTACAACGGCCCCGCCTGGCTTCGAGCCCTGCTCGGATACAGATCTATTTTACTTAGGCCTCACCTGTCACAGGGCCTCGCCCACCAACAAATAATAACACATAAACATTTCACAACACATAACTAAAACATGCAACTGGTTCTGTCCTAAGGCCTCGCCCATGTCCTGCTACTGATGAGTCATGGGACCCCGTCCACGCTCCTAATGGTAGTGAGGTACGGGCCTATCCCACTCTCACTCCTGTTCTAATTTGGGCCTCGCCCTATTCTGCTACTAATGAGATATGGAACCCCATCCACACTCTGCTATTGGTGAGATACGGGACCTCGCCCACACTCACCTCCCTACCAGGCACATACATGTATCACACAGAGAACAAGTATAAACTATCATATAAACAATTCCTTGGGCACCCGCCCGCTATTACTGGACCTCGTCCTGAAAATCATACTAGCATACTGTGCCTAGGGCTAACCCCCGGGTCTTCTACTCATAACTACATGGGCCGGCATTGTGGCCTTAGACCCATTCACACAAAGGGAAACTCACCTGCACTGGCTGAACTTGTTGATGATCTCACTAGTTGCTGCCCGACAACTCACGGAACTCCTGCTCCCCTTGCTCCCCGAACTACCAATATCAATGCAACACTGAGTCTAACTGACCCCCGAAAGACAACCAAGTCAACCCTGGTCCAAGGTCAAAGTCCTGGTCAAAGTCAACCTTCCAGGTCAACCCTACTCGCCGAGTCACCCTACTGACTCGCCGAGTTCAAAATGATCAGATTCCTTCCATTCGCGACTCGACTCGCCGAGTCAGTCCATGACTCACCGAGTCTACCGATTTCTGAGTCATGACCTGTCCAACTCACTGAGTCTCCACCCGACTCACTGATTCGAGTCTCAACTCGAAGGGTTTGGGGTTTCGCGACCTGACTCGCTGAGTCCAAGAACAGACTCGCCGAGTACAAGGCAATCTTCATACGACTCGACGAGTTGTTCATCCCACTCGTCAAGTTTCTCCACAACTTCATGCTCCCTTCAGTTCTCCTTACATGCAGAGGACTTTTGAGTCATGCATGGACTCCAAACTGTAGATCTACCCTTCCCAAACCTATTCCTCATGTAAAGTTGCAAACTTTACGTGTAGAGAAGGAGATCTAGGCAAAATATGCCATAAACTAGGGTTTAAGGCCAAGGGGCTTCAAAATCGACTCAAGGGCTGATACTTTTTGCTTCTCCAGGCCATAACACACTTGGATTTGAAGTAGCAACTCCAGATCCGGCTTCTAACCCATAAGGGTGGCTAATCATGGCTTAAAAAGCCCAAAACTCACAACCAAAATAGATCTAAGGGAAGGAAATGACTTAATACCTTCAATACCTCAAAAAGACTCCACAAACTCCAGATCTGAAGCCAATCCTTGAAGCTTCACTGATTCCCCTCCCTCTTCTTCCTTCAAATCACCCAAAAATGGCTTGGAAGCTTGTTGGAGGCTTAGGCTTCGTTTTTGAATGAGGGATGCTCTAAGGAACCCTAATGGAGAGAATAAGAAGCTTAAATAACGCCCAAAGTCCCGGATTTAGGGTTTTCCTCACACAGACCAGACTCGCCGAGTCCACTTGGCCGACTCGCCGAGTTGGCCACTTACACCTTGACCCGGATCCCGCTCGGACTCGTCGAGTCCCTCCTTGGACTCGCCGAGTCGACCCTTAAAATTAGGGCTTTCTTTCCTTTCTTGGCCTTTAAAACTTTGGGTGTTACAGACCTACTCGTTGAGTCCAAGAAGGGACTCAACGAGTAGGAGCTGGCAGATAAAACCCTAAATTCCGAGGTATTGCACCCAGTTTAAAGGATCGTTGGCCTCCCCCAGCCTCCCCTTTACAACTCCTTATCACCCTTGAACCCTAAATCATGTGTGTGTGTGTGTTTCTTTGGTGTGTTAAAGCTTGGAAGAGGGATCTTGGTGAGGAAACTCTTGGGGAAACAAGTAAATTGAACCTAGGAACTCGTGGGAAGCAAAGATCTACTTCAGTTGACGCTCTATTGAAGGTATTAGGTTGTCTCCTTGGCTCATTTCGTCTTTAATCTCTTTTGGGTGGGTTTTAGGAAAGGTTTCTTGTGTTTGACTCAAGATCTGAAGTTGCAAATTTAGATCTGGACTCCCTTTGGCCTCTAGATCCATAAAGTTGTCAGCTTTGGAAAGTATGATCCTTCCCTCAAATGCAAGACTTCTTTACAAGCTTAGTTTTGTTATTTTAAGGCTTTAGAGCTTTGCATGCACATAATTTTTGCAACTTTACGTGATACACATGCCTTGGGAAACTGGATCTGCAATATGGAGCCTTTGCATGGCTTAAAAAGCATCTGTATGGATGAAGGACTGAAGGGACTTGGCGAGTGGCATGGTCGACTCGACGAGTCCGATGAAGATTGTTGTGGGCTCGGCGAGTCAGATGGTGTTTCCCAACTGTTGGACATATATGAACTTGGCAAGTTGCAAGGGAAACTCGATGAGTCGGCCAAGGAGTTTACGGCCGTAAACCTTAGGAACTCGACGAGTCACTCTAATAACTCGGAGAGTTGGTGAGTTATGCATGGAACTCGACGAGTAGCTGAGGGTACTCAACGAGTTGAGGTTAACATGGATTATTGACCTTGATAGTTGACTTTAACTTTGACCAAGGGTTGACTGGTTGACTTCTGGGGACATTTTGGGAGATTGGAAATTTACAAGTATGGTTTTGCAGTGAATATAGGTGGTGGAGTTTGGGACGGTAATCCGAGAGTTTGAGCTTATCTTACGAATCGACAGTTGCAAGGTGAGTTATCTTCACTATATTTAGGGGTCTAAGGCACCAAGGCTGGCCCTTTGGATTGTTATCTGGTTATGTTATGCTAGTATGATATGTTAGATCGGTATCCTAGAGGGTAGGGTAATACTATGTGGTGTGTGGTATGATCTGTTAGATCAGTATCCTGGTAGATAGGATAATATTATGTGGTATGTGGTATGATCTATTAGATCGGTATCCTGGTAGATAGGATGGTATTATGTGGTATGTGGTATGATCTGTTAAATCGGTATCTTAGTAGATAGGATGGTATTATGTGGTATATGGTACGATCCGTTAGATCAGTTGTTGTCTATAGACTGCTATGTG